TCTCTCTCTCTCTCTCTCTCTGTTATGAAAATGTTGCAAATAATTACATTATATTTAATAATAAAATTTTTCATAAACCACGAAATTTACTCAATAAAAATAACAATAAAAAACTATTTAAAATAATAATATTATTATTGAATTACAAACTAATTAAAATTCATTTGGTTCAGTAATAAACACCACGTTGTTAAATAGGTTATTAGTTAAAAGTGCATGTTATTTGATAGTCGTGTGTACTGTATATGTGTTTTTAAATAGGATTTCCGCGTATAAAATTAAAAGTCTTACTTAATTCATATAGTGTAAAACACTGATACAGTAAAACACATAATATTTATATTATAAATATATACTGGTACATTACTGTTAGTGGTGGCATCGCAAAAAATAATCTATGTTGTAATAAACGTTATGCATTTAATTATGCATAAAATCTCACAGTTTTTATAGATATTCATAAATATAAGAAATGTTATGTTTTATTAGTTTCCAAATAATTTAAATTAAATTTTAAAAATAATTTAATTCACTAAATATCTATAGACTATAGTGTACTCATCGGCAAAGAAAATATATACAAACAAAATATGTATGAAAAAAGTTTTATGACTTTTGATTGCGAGAACAAAAATCATATTTTATTATTCAATGCAAAATATTTAGCCATTATTTCATTGATTTAATTGTATTGTTATTACAACTATTGAGTGAAAACATTATATAGTTTTGTATAGAGTTTAGTGAAATTTGATTATTCCAGACATAATTAATGTTAAATTAAATTACTTAATTAAATATCCATGATCACATGGTATGTATTGAATACGTGCAACAAAACTTGTACGACCAATATGATTACAAATACAAATATAATTATTACAAATACAATTTTTGTGTTTACAATTATCAGTGTTTAAGTATTATTTAAATACAGATATTTAAATAGATGTTTTAATGCAATCGTGAATTAATAACAACTATTAATAAAATCATTATTTATGTATAAATTGTTGCCTCGATTTAGACGTCGGAAACAAACGGGTTTTCAAATATATTTTTGAATCAATATATTAGTCGAAATACATGTATGTATTGAAAACTAACCAAACATTAAATCTAGTTTTAAGCTTAAAAATGTTTATTTTAATTAATGGACAAAATATATAAATATATTTATAAACGACAGGAGAGAGAGAGAGAGAGAAATGAAGAAAAAACCTGATTTTAAACTACCATTGAATGTAAAAAACATAATTTTAACTTAAAGTTATAATTTTTTATGAGGAGAGAGAAAAAACTCATTATGTCTTCCCATTCATTGACGTAATATGTAATTAAAATCATAAGTTTTTTAGTGTAAAATTTTTATTAACTCTTCATTTACTTTCCAATCAATAGGAAAAAGTCATTTCTCGCTCTCCCTATCCATTGCCTACACTATGGACACGACAGCATCCGCTTTGGATCAGATCTGCTTTGATCTGCAACTCGATGAACAAACACTGGATGAGATGAGCACAATGTTTGTCCAACAGCCACCACCACTACCGCCATCAGCAGCACCACAATCACTGCCATTATCTCATAATACAAGTGCCATCACCTCATCCTATGGTGATCTCAATAACAGTGCGACAATTGATAGATATTTGATAAATAATAGCAGTTTTAATACTATTAATAATAATAATCATAACTGCGATAATGCAAGTGTCAAGCAGTTAAATGATGGCATAGGAAATATAACTTATCCGCCAAATACTTATTATAGTTATCAAAATATTAACAGTAATAATAGTTTGCAAACAAACACTAATAATAATAATAGTAATAATATTAGTAATGGTAATAATTATAATAATAATAACTATGTGTGTGTAAGTAATGATGGCAGCGATTGCTTTGCCATTGAAAGTAATGCTATGATTGACGCCAAAAGGATGGCCACAACTACTGGCGCGACGATTAGTGACGAGAATATGATTGACATTGAAAAATGTAAATTAAGATTGAGTGCAAAGTTTGACGATTATTGTGCCAAAATTATACGGGATATGAATACCATCGGGGTATCAGTTATTGACCACTTCATGGGACAGTTGGGCGAACTTGTGCTCCAAGAAGTGCTCTATTTGTACCAAACGGTAAATATTGCCAAAATAATGTTGAAAATAATGATTAGATCGATATGTTTAACTAGTTAACTAATTTAAAGTACTTTACCATGATGAATTTATTGTATTGGGGGTATTATTCGTGCTTTTATGCAAACTATGTACTTTAGTGTGCTGTACATCACCATGCACATCAATATACATCATGGGATGACATATATGTAGTTGAAAATGTCGTAAAACTTTTTGAAACGATGACATTTGTCATACTTTAAATGTCTTGTTTTTAAAAACTTTGCTATTTATGAGCGCATATATTTATGTACTCAAAATTGATGATATCATTAACAAATGTCATAATTCTTGTGATTTTCTCCCCATTACCAATGGTAATACAAATATTTATTTAATATTTGTATAGTATTTATCTCTTTAAAAGATACCAATCTTTTTATCGTTAAGAATAGTTCGTAAAATTTAAAATAAATATTAGTTATAAAATTAAACCATTAACTAAATAAATAATTTTATGTTCAAAATTTAAGCATTAATATTTTATAGACACCAAAACAATAGTCTCTCTCTCTCTCTCTCTCTCTCTCTCTCCAACGACTTAATTGATGGCCATTTAACTAATGAATGTGAAGGCAATTGAATAAAACAATTACTAAATCATTGAAAATAACATAAATAGATACATAAAATTGAATGATGATAAAAAACAATTTAAAAGCCATCTGAGCTAACTATAAAGCAATGACACTGTTTCAGGTGGTGTTCAGCGATGGCAAAGTGGTCAACAACGAGATGGTTAGGGACAGCGCCGGGAGTCGGGAGAAGATCAGAGGCGACTCAATCTATTGGGTGAACGGAAGTGAACCTAATTGTCGTTTCATAAGCCATTTGATGACTACATTGGATCGCATTGTCTTCAAGTGTAATAAAATGAATAACAATGGCTTAATGGGAATCAATAGCATATCCAGCCGTACGTCAGCGATGATTGCCTGTTATCCTGGACAAGGTCTGCATATATCATTCACCCTGGTCACGCTTTCTCTCTAAATTTCAATACTTTATACATTTTTAAAATAGCCAACACATGTTTAGTGTTACGAGTTTTTGTAGTGTTTTTGTATAGCTTTTGATATACAATAACTGGAAAATTGACAACAAATAGTCATTTGTTTTCCCGTAGAGAATGCTATAATGAAATTAAAATTATTTTAAAATAAAGTTTTAATTTCATTATAAAATATTTATTTCTGTGATGTATCGACTCCTTGGCCCAGCATTTTTGATGTCGGATTATATGCTATTCAATACACGACACACTCGTGTCTGTGGCTATCATTGAATAAATTATTAATTTGTTTTATTTTAATATTAATTCCATGAAATAATTTTTGTTTTAATTTTAATATTTTTTGTTATTTAATTGTTTTATTAATTTAATTAAGAGTCAAGTTATAAACAACACGCGGACAATACAATAGCCGACGGCAGATATATTACATGCATTTACTATATCAACAAGGATTGGGTGCCCGCTGTAAGTATCAAAACAATTTTAGCTAAATAACTTGTAACATATCTAACATAACATAGGAAACTAAATTAATTATAAATTTACCAATTTAAACTAATAATAAATAAACATATTGTATGCATTAGTTATTAAGGTACATTGTTGTACACTAAGCTGCAAGGTATTGTATTTAATAAATTTATTTTATGATGATATTTTCAGAGAGACGGCGGTTTGTTACGCATATACCCGTCGCAAGTGTCGGGTCAACAGCCCCTGAATATAGCGCCAGAGTTTGATCGGTTGATATGCTTTTGGTCGGACAGACGTAACCTTCACGAAGTGCTGCCCACCCGTCGGCTCAGGTTTGCGATCACTGTCTGGTATTTCGACGACGAAGAGAGGCGACGCTTTCGGCAGAGGGTCGCCAAATCACGGGCTAAATAGTGCCCAACACTGGTCTACCATTTCGTTCATACAGTATACAAAATATTCAAAATGTGTTGAATCTCTCACCCGTTTGGCTGTCAAACTTATTGCACATATCAATTGACTATTTATTAATAATTTTTCGATATTAGTGTATTTGTTTTTTAATCTTATTTTTTTATATAAAAGTACACTATATGTTCACCAATTTATTTATTAATTTCATTTCATTGCATAACAATGTTTTTTCTGTACAATTATTAATGATTTTTTATGTGTTTTAATGTATACGATACTAACTTCTCTGCCGTCTTAGATAGACATATAATTTGATTTTATAAAATGTTTAAATGATTAAAAACTTTACAATATTTAATTATTTATTAAATTAAATGCCAATTTTTTTAATGCTAATAAAGGAGGATGGGGAAGAGTCTATGTTAATTTGGCTAAAAAAATAATTTTTATTTAACCCTACGGAAAAAAGTTGTCAAAATTGTA